ATGTTATATTAATATCAAAATGATATTATAAGAGTGATAAAGATGTTAATATTCAAAACGAAATAAGTTTGTTTATCTATGATCGCTGTTTTTAACTACCTTTAATAGTAGAAGGACGACTGTGCGAGCAAGGGCCACTCCAAAACAAAAATGAGATGACAGTCAATCAAAAGAAAATATTAATGCGCCATTACAACAGGACAACAGCCACTATACAGAAAAATAACAAAAACTCGACTTGTTGTCGTCCTAGCAAATGTGTGTGTGCAAATAAAATTTGAGATTACAAAATGAGAAGAAAGGAGAATCCTGTTTTACCTTTTTAAATGTCGCAACTTAACACTTTCAACAAGGACAAAAAGTTGGTTTATGAAAAAATAAATAATTCCGTCATACTTCCAAAGGAACAGATTGGAGCGACCCAACGACAATGACTCAACCTTATTTGGTAAAACAGGCAATTAAAAAAGCGTGGTTATAGTCGGGAATGCCGACATATTATGTTGTTGTATGAGACAAGCTGATTTTCGTTTCTGCAATTCTTTTGAAAATGTAAGAGATGTTAATAAGATAGAAGAATACAGTTTATCTGTTCATGTATACATAATTGTTCATCTCTTCAAATTATTTAGTACTTTTATATTTTAATAAGTTTTAAAGATGTATTATTCTCATCCTAAAATGAAATATTTTAATCACGGAAATTTATTGAAATCTATAAAATTCGTACTAAAGATGTCTAATTTGAAGAATGTTTTATATGTTGCGTTCCCTATAAATGGTCAAGTAAAGTTGGTCCTTTCTTAAAGAAACTGCCACTCTTTTTAATGCCACTTTATATATATTCATATTGTGAAGACCTAAGTATTGTGTGTAGAGTTTAAAACGTACCATAATTTCTGTGTGTGTAATCAAATAAGTTTATTCTATATTTACAAAGATATTTTGTATCAATTAACAGTATTTTCTAATATCAAAACTGAGCATAGTGTATCTTTACAGAAATATAACATATTTTAATGGAGTAAACGCACTAATAAGATAATGGTATTTAACTCAAATCAATCATTGTTATTTCAGAATGTTATTTTACCAACAATTTATTTTATGTTTTTTCCTTGTCTAGGATGAAGTCGACACCAAGATTATATCAGAAATACGGAATTTGTTTTCCCTATCAGTTTTCTAAATAATAAGAAAGAGGTTTATGATGCATAGTAAAGTAATTTCATGTTAGTACATCGTATTGTATTTGAAAATCACAACACATAAAGGATTTTATTATAAACTTGTTCAGATTTTATTTTAGTTTTAAACTTTAAAACTTCCTTGTAAATTAGAAATGGTAAAGGTAGTTAGTTGGTTAACTACAAACCTACAGAAAATGTCGGATTTTACAGGTGTATTTTATATCTTCTTGTGGATATCTTACACTAAAGGTAAATTAATTTTTTATTTCATCTGTAAATAGGATAAGACGTTATATCATCTTTATAAGCAGGGCCTGTATTTTAATGTTTTCTTCCAAGGCAGTAGGAACCGTAAAATATATTTGTTATTTATCTGGTTGCACATGTAAATATGTATTAGACTCCACATAACTTAAATAACTTAAATATAGGTTGGTTTAAAAAAGTAAAAGGCTTAATTATTCACGTCGGATATGTTTGCAAAGCATGTTACTAAGTACAAAACGTTTAATTTAAACAATTAAATATCATTTACCAATTATGTTTTCGGGAAGGAGACCCCTATTCACATAATGTTATAATGTCTTTCTTTTTAATTATTACGCCAGATTTCACTACGTGCATATTATGTATTAACTGTATTACTAGTATTGTTTGGCAATATTGACCTGAGATTCATTAATTGTCGGGATTTTTTTCGTATTGTCCGTAATTTGTTATGATTTACGCCATAGATTTTAATGCAATTTTACATTTCGTTACTTTAATTAATAAATACTGTTCGATGGCCTAATGGTAAGAACAGCGGAATTGTGATCACGTTGTTCAAATTCTGAACAAACTTTTTTTAAGATTTTATAAACTTCTTTTATTTCTTTTAATTTTATTGAAAACATGTTGATAAAATACGTGTTTCATTTCTAGCTTTTTTATTCGTTTTCATCATTTTGATAAAATTTCAATAATTTTGATATGTAAAGTTGTACAATGAGTGATTTACATGCATAAAACATAGTGGTCAAGTTTTGCAAAATATAATAAAACACCATACAAGAAAAACCTCAGCAAATTGGCGTTTCGACGATTTTTATCACCGTATTTCACAATTCTGCTTTTTTCTCTGTTTTTGTTACAAAGACACACAGCCGGAAACCTAAAATCATCCGTGTCAGCATTTGCGAAACTACTTTAACAGTATAGAACTACTGCGCATTCACTTTACTTAATTGACTGCTTTTGGAGTGTAATATTTACCGCGTTTTATTACGTTTCGCTTGTGGATAGAACTCTAAGCTAGCAAAATTATTTGTTTAACTTGTAGTTTTAATATCAACGTCTTCTTTTTATCCAATTTAATTATAATTTATACTGCTGTATAAAACATGAGATTGTGCAAGTCTATAAAAACTAAGGTAAAGGCTAACTGTACGCTGGTTAATATTACAAAAAACGCAAATAATGACAAACATGTTTAGTTTAAACATATTTTATTACATCAGGTACATGTCAAATATTATGTGATGAGTATATTTATAATATTGCAACGGAAAGCAAATGGGTTGGGCAACAAGTTCTAGCAACATTACATTACATTAAGCCCTCCCAGATGCCACCAACATATGCGTGCATAATTATATTATGTCTTAAAACATAGGCAAATAAGGAATATATCCATATCTATCCATTACTAGTAAAAATGTAAAGATTCCCCATCCCCCACGTTTCAAAAAATAGTGTATTAATACATTCCCTGCATTTTTACTGTTATCGTAATATACCTTCGTTAAAACTTAACCTCTGTTGTGACGTGTAACATGTTGAGTAAATAATCTTTTCTATTTATATCGACTACAATAACAGTCCGGTTAATGGGCAACTAAGAAGACCACCAATATTAGAACGATACCGCAACAGAATCAGACAAATTGTGTTTTAAGGTTAGCTCGAAAATATGGTGTTTTTTACGAACATTAATACAAGTTATAGCAACGAGAAGATCTCTCAGACATTTGACATTCGTTTGGGCTTTAGACCTTATATATATATATATATATATATATATATATATATATATATATATATATATATATATATATATATATATATATAATGTGTTTTATGTTTATAATGCTGTTCTAGTGCAATGTTTTAACAAATGTTTCATAAATAATTACTGCATTCTTCCTGTAAACAATTATTTATCAAAACTATGTTTTTATGTTTCTGTTTCTTCAAGTCATAGTAAATGTAATAATGTTTACTACTTACAAAAACGCATAAGCATCGATTGCTTTTAAGTAACTATACACAATGGTGTTGTGATAAGGAATTTAAAGTTTAAAAAAATGTTTAACGTAAACAAAGTTGCGTGTGTCCTTGGTTACATTTCTAAAGTCATCTATCCTAAAATTTATTTGTAATTGACATGCACACACAATTAGAAAACAATAATTTATTAAAGTTGTTATAGTTCATATATAAAGTTCAACTATGATAGACGATTACCAAAAAAGAGGATTTACAAGATTCCTGTTTGTTTGTGAATTTTGCCATTTTTTGTTATAGAATTCTGGCTTTTGATTCAATGGACGTGTTATGCTTCATGTAAGTAGTAAATCACACAATGAGCAGCATCTGTCACTTTCACATTTACCATCCCTAAGATCATCATAATTGAAATCAAAATGGTCGAAATGGACAATTTCAAGACAAAAAAATGAAAATGACAAATTATAAATGTTGAACGCTGTGTTACAGTAGTAATAAATGCATGCATGATATTATCTACTTTCACTTAACAGAAACCGACATTCAGATATGAAAATTGCGATACTTTGAATTAAGAATCCTCATATATGTAACTACATTTAGCGTAGAAAGTAAGATAGAATTAATTCTAAAGAGGATCGGAGCAGAACTCGGAGGAATCTTACTAGAAGCAATAAGATCAGACTTTAAATACAAAATAATGCAAAGTCATACGTGTATAATGGTTAACTGTAGTTTAATTAACAAATTATCAGTCTGCGTAATTATTATCTATTCTTTGGACCGTAATTATGTATTAAATAACGATTTATAAATAGTTACAGATTCACAACTGCAGTTAATTTCGTTTTTAAGACTCAAAGGTTAGTTGAGATGGCTTTGTGGGACAACTGACTTTTTATCCCAAATTCCAAAAGTACTTAACCCAATTTCCAACAGAAATTGGATAAGACTTGTGTAAAATATATTTGATTTAATAATCGCCCTAGTTACTAAACCATTTCACGATCGACTGCTTTTTCTGAAACTTTGTAAAATGCAGCATTTCTAATATTCGGTCTTTAATTATCTAATAAGGCCAAGAGAATTGAACCGACTTTTTAACTGATGAATTAATTTCGTCAAAGTAAGCCTACTGAAACATACAAAAGGGAAACAACCAAAGTTTAAAATGTTTGTTGAAATATGTGCATATTTTCTGTTTCCTTCTTCTCTTGCATTCATTACTACTCTAATCATAAACTTTGTTCCTCATAACGTATAAAAATTTTCTCACAAGGAAAACGCTAATCTTTCATTATCCCAAGCCAAACATTTTTTACTTATAAAAGCATTGTGAAATCATTTAATATATTTCGGAATTTAAAGCAATTAAATAAATGCCCATTAAATTTCGTTTCAATTCATGACCTTAGAGTCATACGATACATAAATTAGTGTATAACTTTATTACATTTTTTTACAAAGAATCATTCAACTGTCAATAAAGTCAAAGGCTGTTTACTGAACTTGTTTTTTTTTATATGAAGCTTCTTCAGGGTGTTTATAACTTCCTTCTTCAGCTCAATAAAATGGTAACGTAAAAGGAAGTTACATTAAAGTAAAGCTAAATGTTTAAACATGGTGCACACTAGTGGTGTATATTTGATTATTTTATGGATTCCATTTTCTGAAGGTAAATATCTTATAATTAAGCTTACCGTTCTTGTTTAGTGTTTCTTTTTCTTCCCAACATTTATAAAAGAATAACAATTGTCGAATTAAATAAGTCACACTGAATCAGTTTTAAATAGGGACAGTTCAATGTCTATCTTACAGAAATTTAGCTAGCGTGTTTCAGATTAAATGTATGAATTACATATAATTCAAATGAACAATTGACCGTGCAAAATGATCAATATATCCTATATAGCTATAATAAGAATTGAAATTTATCAAGATTACTTCAGCCTATAGCTTGTAGGTGGCAACTGTTTCTATTCTATGTTTGCTTTTCAGTCAGTAATATATAGGATTTTCGCTAACATTGATGAATGGTTTCACCCAGATTGATGATAGTTGAGTCCATGTAAGCGTTTTAGAGTGGGAAGGGTTTATTTCCGCTTTGGAATCAATTCATTTGTTTTATTACCAATAATTTGCTTGTATCATGTATTTGATTTTATTAGTTAATGGTAACAAATAATTCGATAGAGTTGTTATGAATACGTCGAAAATAAATGCTTTGACATAATTACAAAGATTACGATAAGAATATACAAAATCGAAAATGAATCTTTACATAAATGTACATGAATTGTTATCTATCTCTCAGAGGTTTGAAAACATTGTAACTTTAGATGCTCATTATAAAGACTACTAACTTCTGTTTTGTTTTTTTATATGATTTTTTGTTTTAAAATTTTACCGTTTAAAAAAATAATTAACCCCTTCAACAAAAGACATCAGTATAATAGCTTCTTAACATTACTTTTAACTATTTGGTATTTGGCAAAGTTTTTGGTTATTGAAAGTTTTATTTTTTTAAGTTTAAATTAAAGCATAAAGTATTTCATAAATAAAGAGATCGATAACAGTGTCACCGTTTGTAAAATACGTTTATGTGTATTATTGAATGATGAAAATAGGTGTGATAAAATAGAAATTGACATGACCTTGTCACTGATTGAACGCTTTGGTGTTAAGAATCTGCTTTGCAAACATTTTTTGAGCTTCCATGACGTTTCTGTGTAAAATATGCATTTTAATTTTGATGACAAAAACAAAAAAGCCAAAAGTAATCAATTTTGAATAACTGTACGTTGTAGGTGCTGAATTTATATCTCTTAACGAGACAACATGGAACAATATAACTACAATTTGCCAGGCTGCATTGCCCGAGATAAATTACAAGGCATCCATAAACGGGAATGAATTTATGGTCGATTATACTGGAAATATTGAAGAAAGAGATGGTGTATGGGTTGGGTACTATCTATCTACTACGCCGTTTGAGTATATTGGTAAATGTGAATGCTTCACTGCTAAAGTTGTAGTAGTTCAAGTTTGTCAACATTTATTAAAAATGATACTTAACAATGTTAAAGCTCTACTTTCCTGTTTCGAATCTAGTTCTGTTTGATCAATCTGACAATTTGATATGTTCCTCATATAAATATTCTCCTTTGCCTTAACCATGTAATGAAAATAAATGCACATCTTTTGAATAATTAAAATGATGTAAATATACACGTACGAGATATATGAGCTTTTATTAGTTCTTTCTTACGACCTCTGCATTAATATTCGTACTAAAATTATCGTTTTGAATTGACAAATGAATATACGCAAAATACCCGGTAATGCATCGTATCTGACCATATTGAATTTATTGATTACAATGTACTATTTTTTTTAATTTGCAGGCTGTACAAAGATTAGGAAAAGAACTGCAATAGCTCAGTTCGAGAAAGACATACCAGGCCTTTGCTTTTCAGCTTGTAAAAAGAAAGGAGTAATTGGTATCAGCAATAAACAGGTAGGGAGTCAATTGGATTAGTAATTGTTAGCACCTTACATAAATTGACAAGTCTTACTTCGTTTATCCCTCCAATTTCGTATCTGTTTTCGCACTTAGATGGCCATTAACTATAGATGTCAATATGAAATCGCTATTTATGCATATTCACAATATATGCGCTGTCGACAAATAAAACAAACATGGCGGGCTGACGGAAATAGTAGAAAATCAATCCTTATTCCGATTACTATCGCATACCTAATGACTGTTGAGATTTATATATATTACAACTTAAAAATTGTCACCAAAACTAATAGAACTCACTGCCGCTCTCTTTACAGAAGTCAAGTTCAACGCACATGAAGTCAAAAAAGTATCTCACTGGTGCAATATTTCAAGTATCTTTTAAATTGCAATCCGTCCAATCAGGAATATGCTATTCGTTAAATCGAATCCACAGTCATCTATACATTTTCCAACAAAACAAGTAAAATTATCATTAAAAGCAATAAACATTCACAGTTGTCTAAAATATATGTTCATTTTCCATTGTCGACATTAAAATATGACGTGACAAATTTTCAATTAATTTATAGCGAGCTCGCAGGGTCTGCTCGCAAAGCGAGCTTTACGGTAACGCGTGTACATGCTAGATAGTGATGGTTTTGAACACTTTCGGCCGAAGTACTGAATTGACACATCGCAACTTTTCGAATTGCAAGATAAGTATAAAAGCCAAGGTATTTTGATGGAAAACGGAAGCGTAGACTGGTGTCCTGCGCACTTACATGGAAACCATAATAGGAAAGGGAACCAGAATAAACGGAAGCAGTGTATAAAAACCGAATGACAATTTTAAAATGGAAAATGTAAAATAAAAATGAACGATTATTTTATACTATTTCACGGTAAAAGTAAATCGAGCTCGCTTTAAGGCTTTGCCTTTTTCATATTATACGCTAAATTATGTCATTGGTGACTTACATGGAATGATTGATATATGTCCGAGTAAATCAATTAAAAAATAGAGGAGTTAAATAAATGTATTAAAAACAAAGGACACTATTTGATCATTTATTCTTAACTGCATAACGCACTGACATTTGTTCAACTTTAAAGAGATCAAGTATATGACAGGACATAAACATTGATTTTATAAAAGGCTTTTTGGAAATGTTTATAAAAAAAAACTTTTATTCGGTTTTTCCATATTTAATTTATTTAATCGTTTTTAAGCCCATAATTTCATTTAAAACCCTTTTAAAAATTAATTAAGAAGGGACCGGGGTTTAAAAAGAAAATTAAATTTTTAAAATGTTTTTCAGTTTTTTGATCACATCATCGATTTTATTTTCTTTAGGCATTTTTTAAAAAAATCAGAATTTGGCATTTCTGCCTTAATTACAACGGGGGTGAAACCCGCCTAATATGGCATTGGTGGAAAAAATCATAGTCACTTTACAAAATTTGGCCTTATGGTGAAAACAAATAAAAATTTTGTATCAGAAGTCACTTTTGCGTGTTTTACATATTTATATTTTAAAATTTTGATAAGAATATTGCTTTAAAAAAAGGAATGATTGTTTTTAAAGCAAAAAACACTTTTTAGCAGTTTATATTCTAACATCACAACACACTAATAAAATATTTTTTTCTATTTTTAGGTACTTAAAAGGTATTTTATGGACCTGTTAGGAAAAAGCTCATGACAAACGAATTAAATTGTATAAATATCACAGTTGATACTAAACATTTTCTTGAAATTTCTAGATTTATGAATTTTCCAGATACAAATAAATGTTTATAAAAAAAGACTTTTATTTATTTTTAATAATTTGTTTTTAAATTTAAAAAAAAGAAATTTTAAAAGAATGCGTAAAATAATGCAATGTTTAAGCAAAATTTTAAAAAAATGTTGCCAAAAAATAGTTTTTCAAGTAATTATGAAGATAGGAAATAGCTGTAACAGATACTTATTTATAGTCACAAGATGTATTGATTTTAGAAGATCCGTTAAATTGTATATTTAAAACGTCAAATGATAATTAACATTGCGATTTTGGTAAGGACTGTTTTTCTTTTATAGTAAAATATATGTTGCTGAATATTTATTAACATAGCTTCCTGCAAGAAAGAATATGAACAAAACATATTCTTGAAAATCCCTGTTTAATAATGATTTGTATTAAATACATTTGACATCATGGATTTAATATAATACAGATTTGACTTAAAAAAAACTAAACAATTGAAAATATACTGTAACACTTTATTTTAATTTTCCTTATATTTTTATCAATATTCACCATTCAGTGAGCCCATGGGTTAAATGTTATATTCTTAAGCCTCTTACATTTTTAATAGTCGTCTTTTTTATAGGGTTAACGCACGTTTTTTCGTGTTATAACGTCTGCAGAGTCCCGAGGAACGGTTGGTGCCCGAGCCCGGCAGGGCGAGGGCTCCAACAGTTCCGAGGGACTCTGCAGACTTTATAACACGAAATAAACGTGCGTTGACGCTATTATAGCATAAAATTTTAAAACAGATCATGATGTTATATAATATAAAACACAAACATTAAATCCTTGTGCTTGAACGGTATTTATCCAACTCTACATGTTTTACGTATGCGTTTTATTTTTTCCGGGGCCAAACAACTTGAAAAACCGAACGAAATTTCAAATTTTAATTGATTTAACAAAGGAGATATAATAACTTAAGAAAAAATAACATTACTCTACCAAAGACAAAACAGGTGCCTCAAAGAAATTCCTAGAATGATTACAGATTGGCGGTAGGAAAAAATCAGTGACATCAATTCAATTTCAGAATCGTTTTTTTTTAAGCACGCAAGTTTAAAAAAAAATCAGGCATAAAAACATTATTCTCTCAAAGAAACATACAGAACATTTATCAATATAAACGTCATATAAAACAACGTTTTCTTATATTCATTTTGTGCTTTCCATTTTTGTAAGTTATAATCGGGGGATTTTAAACTGAATGACAGATTCTATTTGTTTACACTGACAACTATCCGTTTGAAAGAAAAAAAAAAAAAAAAAAAAAAAAAAAAAGACAAAACTAAGAAAGGCGACAACCAAGATAAAGCGGCGATGTTATACGCCGTATTGCCGGCATAATTACTTGAAATGCTGCTCGCCGGCGATGAAGTCCCTCGAATTAATAATTCCAATGATAACAAGAGCGCATGACTCTGGAAAACAGGCCAAATCGTCATATTTTGTTTGTTTACTGGGCCCTCTATGTATTGCGCATAGGTAAAACCGGGCTATAACAAGAGCGCGTGACTATGTTAACGCATGGTTTTGGCCCCGTTATAACATGGGCAAACAAGGGAAAAATAGCCGATTTTATGCTATAATACAAGATATAATTATATCAGATATGTTACAAATATTTTAAGAGTATACATGTTAACAATGTACCTGTGATATTACGTTCATGTTAACTTAAAATATTTTATGTATGTTTTTGTATTTATGAATTGAAAAGTGTGATACAGGGATGAATTCTGACGCATTCACAAAAATAAAAAAGTATTAAAAAATTCTTATTCAATTTGTTATTTGTAGACTTTAATACAACAGGAAAGTATAGAAAGGGAAAATGCCTCGAATACGAGAAAAACTTTGAGCCCCTGTTTATTTGGAAAAATTGCGGTGAAAGTCATCAGACAATATGCACATTGAGTAAGAAATATTATTATAATAGCAGTACATTACTCGTATAAGTATTTTATTATCTTTGTAAAAGTTTATTTCTTGTACATATTTCCCGTGTAATGGAAGGTCATGACTTAAATTCTGATTTATTTTATCTATATTTCTTTTTATTGTCCTTTCGTTCTTTCCAACATCATCCCACATAAATAATTTATATCTTTATGATTTTAAGCATGATAATTTTGTAGCAATTTCTATAATTTTGCCTTGGCTTGAATACGAACAACTGATACATTTAATAGCAAATTGTGTTCCTAAAGTATATTTGTTAAAGATATACTATGCTCAAATTTGATGTTTGAAAATATTCATTACTACTACGCAGCCTCTTTGTAAATATAAAATAAACATGATTCTGTTTCAGTCATGTATTGAACTCTATACACTGTAAATGGTCACAATATGAATATATAGTGTCATTAAAAAACTGGCAGTTCTTGTATGAAAAGACCAACTTCATTTGGCCTTATATAGAGGGAATGCAGCTTTCAATACAAAATTTTAACACTTTTGTACTCAAATCAAAACCATTCAGTAAATCATTTCATGGATTTCTATACATTTCTGTGATAAGAATATTTTACTCAAAGATGAGCATAGTATATTTTAAAGTATACATGTAAGACAAAAAATATGAGTTGTATTGTCGAACATTTTAATCTGTATCGATACATTCATTGATAGATTCATTTTCATTTATACATTCACAATAGATAATGGTTCCGTTGAAGTATTATCAAGTAAAGATACCCAGACAAGATGGAATTATGCTATGAACTTGTGCTTGAAAAATTTAAAACATCCAACAAATGTCAAACATCTTAATCAACTGCAAGTACGAAACGATCTTAAACCGTCTTGGGCAGGAGTCATTTCAAGTGCTGTCATCTATTCAAATATTGGTTTGTGATTTATATGGTTGAAAGAAACGACATTTAAGTTAGTGTATATCGGTGTTTAAAACTAAAGTATATCTTAGCCCGAATTCAATAAACTACTTTATCTTTTTTTGCATTACACGTGATATTAAAAATAATAATCCATTATAAATTCTGCTTTATAATAACCGAGAATGTAATATCTTCTTTACCCGAAAATAAAAATTGCTAAACATTATACAGTGAGGATATTTGTTTGTTTGTGTGTAAGATGAAATTTTATTTCATCGACTGAGCTTTAAAAACAGTATTCTCACGAGTGGCGTAGCCACGAGTGACAATACTGTTTTTAAAGTTCACGAGATGAGATAAAATTACATCTTACACAAAAACAAACAACTTTTCTTTTTATTTTATGCTTAAAAACAAGTTAAAACGAAGTTTCCTTGATATTAACTTTAATATTAAAATCTGTTTTCCCTATTGGTAGCCTCTCTATTAGACGAATTTCTCATAAAATACAAAAAGTTTTGGACTAAAAAATAAGTTCGACAATCAACGTTAAATGGAGACGATATTATATGATATATATAAGATCGCTTGTTTTAAAAATAAAAGCAAACAATTCTATTTGGAGAAAAAGTCAAACCATCCATCCATATTTCTGTTACTTACGGCGAATTTATATTAGACTTGGCTCTGTGAAATGTAAATCATGTAAATAGCCGCCATTTTTAAAAGTTGTGTATTCCATGGCAGGAAATAATTGTGTTTGATTCAGAGGGATTCATTTGGATTTGTTAGTCATACACCTTTTAAGAAGAAAGAAAACTTTTTATTAGGATTATTACAGACAATTAATAAGTGTTGACAGATGTGTAAACATTCAAAAAGCGACTATGAAATTGGAACACATGGTCTATTTGAAAGGCTGCCTTACAAACTTACGAACACTGGGTTATTTACTTATTCTTCGGGCTGATGTATGTCATTGCATTTCAAGTTATTAGGCTCGTAGGATACTTAAATATGCCCAAATGTCATCAAGAGCAGTTCTGCATGTTGAAGGAATTGTATTTTTCAGACTGTAAACATGAAACAAAAATTAAGGGATGATATTTGGTGATTGGTAATTTGAATGAATTAAAGTAAGCTCTCTTCTTTTAATTACTTTTGAAATTTCAGTTATTTATCAATTTCAGCTTTGCTTTTCTCTAAACAGCCTTGACAATGTCAAAATTGTCAACAATAATAAATATTGAGGTACGCATGTGGAAATCTTCAAAAAAAAGTAGTCTCAACTTTGAAAAGTGTGAACTTATATTTTGATAATTTTCACTTTGAAATTATCAAATATAATTTTCACGGATAAATCATTTATCCACTGAAAAGCATAAAATAAAAAGATATTATATCTTGAAAGAGGCAATTCTACTTTTATCACGGTAAATTAGCAGTAATAAGCAGGTTAAGTGAACTTAACTATTTATTTCATTTCAGTTACTTTAAAATAAATCGATATTATCTAACATATATTTCTTTCACTTTATAGTTTTATATACCGCATATGACATATCATAACAACAATAGAAGAATATTATATCACTTAAATGAAGAATTATTATTCATTTTGAGTTAAATATTTTAATACATGGCATTTCTTTGCAGATCCTGTTACAAGACAAACAGAGAAGAAGTTCGGTTATCTCAAGCAAAAAGGAGAGAAAATCGTGTTAAAATTTAACAACGATGCCTCTTCATCCAGAAAAATCCTTTGTACAAGCGGTATAATAGTTTTTGTCTTTTAAGAAAAATGAAAATTATACAAACGTAAATATATGTATAATTTCTTAAAGCTGTAAATGCATTTTGTGTTTGTTGGCATTGACCGTTAAAATAATTAATATTATTATAATGAAAAAACCTTTGCAATTTCGATATGGAAGATATGTCTTTCATGAGATAGAATCATGGTTGGGTTTATTCATTTTCTTATGGACGGCAATTGCGTACTTTCAAATTATTGGAAAAAACTACTAATAAGTTAAAATTTTTCTCGGTTGATTTTTTCGGCTATTGAGACACACTTAAGTGATTTCCAAATTTTATTGAGACGGTTCTCTAAAAGAACAGCTATTCTTTTATAGCAAGTGTTGAATACTGAAAGTAAAAGCTGAAGGTCCAATTCCCCTCAAGGCCAGAAACTATTCTCACTGTTGCTCTTTTATTTTGATATTATAGGAAGAACTAAAAAAGAATCCGATGGTAAGTGTAAGAACGGTAATATTATTAAGTATTTATTAAACATTATTCTTCAGGAAAAGAAATAACCTGACAATAAATTTGTGACAAAAGTATTAGATAATGAAGATAAACATACTTGTTTAAATCATTAAGTGATGTGTAATTAATATTTAAAATATTCTTTACTATAAAAGATATTTTACAATGTATATTGTTTCAGTAAAAGGTATATGTAGTTGTTATAAAAGAATATCATTTTAACATAATAATTATGTTTTGTCTACAACAGACTCAAATGTTGGACTAGCAGTTGGCGTTTCAGTTATGCTGGTTTTTGTTATAGTAGCCCTGGTCGTAGCAGTTTTTATTTTAAAAAGAAGGTAATGTTTTGAAAAGAATACCATGTACATATAATTGATGATTTAAAAAACAACAATATTTAAGAGTGGTGGTGATATTTATTATGTATCTTTAATGTCACAAGACATACGATTCGGAATACAACATATATCAATAAGATATGGATATGGTTTACATATCTACCGAAAAAATAAATATAAGTTGATTGTTTAAACCAATGTTATTTGTGTAACATTGTTTATGCTGAAAACATTTGTTGTTCAGAACCTCAAAGTTTGGTACGAGTGTAAAGACCTAAAACTAAGAATCTCAATAGTGTCTTTGGCGATTTTATGATAGATAAGTCATGAGAGCTAATATATAAAGACAGTAATAAGATATTTAATTATTTTGTATGTGTTTTTTTTAACAGAGGAAAACTTGAAGGCATACGTTTTAAAATGCCAACAAATAATAAACCAGTACAACGAACACAACATTTATCTATAGTTCACAATAACACCTACGAAACGCCTTCTGATTCTCCTTATAACGAGATTGACGATGCTACTTTACAAAAGAACAGCGGTGCAAGAGATAATACCTTTGGAAATGACGGACATTATGCTCACACTTATTTTGTTTTGGAGGGCCTAGAATCTGATCCTAAAGCAGAAAATGGTATTTCTAATTCTAGACATGAAGAGAGTAACAGCGAGTACAACACCATAAGTTCAAATATAAAGCGTGGAAACAAAACTAACAATGCATATGACACGACAGAGAACGCAGTTAAAAGACTGAAAGATCAACATGATAACGGCATTGATGATATGAAGGGTAACAATTCTGACGCCATGAAGGAAGACGATTACAATCATATTAGTGATGCAGCTCTGAAGAACAAAACAACAGATAATGATTACGGTTTACCATCAAGTGGTGCTGAAAACGAGTATGGAGATGTCAGAAAAAATAATGGAAATGCTCTACACGGTGACGGAGACCCATATAATCATATCCAATTTTAATATTTAAGTAATAAAGAAACTTTATTATCTAATTAATGTGTTGGGTATCTACGAGTTTAATAGCAAATATTTATCTTTTCAGATATTTTTAGTTTACTGATATTCACTGTCATCGTTAATAAAAAATAAGATAACTGACAGAGTTGTTTCCAATGTCTTATTTGTGGTAAAGTATTGATCAACAATCTCTATTTTCAATTTGTATCACTTTGAAAAAAAAAATTAAGAAAGAAAAAAGGCAAGTTACATATTTTGCTTCATGAAATAATTATTGCTTGAAACTAAAACTTAAATCGGTATAATTGTATTGTTGTCAAAACATGTCGAAGTTTATGCACAATAGATTTGTTCCTTTACAGACGAAATAGCCAAAAGTGATTAACCCATTCAAACAGAATTAAACTAATCGGTAATTGGTCGAATCGCGGGACTTCCATAGGTCAGTTCAGTACCCATTTTGTGTTAGTGACCAACCAAATACTTTAGCTGAAAAATTTAGCCTCGGACCCTGATCATACACAAATCAAAAACCTTTTGAACAGTAATTAAAGATTAGTTTAGTGAACTTGAAAGCAAACAAGTTTGAATAAATATGTCGTACAATTACAATCAGGATAGATCTTTTAATATGAAAATGTCCACTTTGGACCTACAAATAAATTACGAAGCTGTAAAAAAGAGTATACATTGACAGTCTTTTATTGATTGCACCCATGCCATAGTGATATTCCTTAAAAAGAACGATTTATTTACAATTCCCTTACTTTTACTGACTGGAGATACATGATATAACGTGGATGTCATATGGTTTTTAAGATTCTTATATTGTTTTTAGGATTGCTTTTAAAGTGACACGCCTCCAGATGAGTAAAATACAAAACATCAGTCCAGATGAGTAAAATACAAAACATCAGACTTAAATTCAAATAATTACAGTTTGCGAATTCTATTGATAATTTTCACAACCGATGTAAAACTTTGAATGAATTGAACAAAATATCTATAAAAGCTACTAGTAGAGTAAGAAAAAATTCTGCGTACTTTGCCAAATTTTTAATGTTTTGTGGTTTAAAAAAATTGTGTCTTAGGCTTGGCACTTACAGTTCGTAGACTTGACAACCTATTTACCCTTAAGAGCAGTTTCTAAATTTTCATAAACATTAAAGCATAATATTGATAATATGTTATATAGAATAGAAAACATAAGTTAGCGTCCGGCCATCATGTTTTGATTGTATGCTTGTTACATTAAAGATGAAACACAAAACCAATTATTTGACGATATTTACACTTTACACAGATAAAATGTTTATTTTCCTTGTCCGGTTGATTTACAATACACAAACCGACCAAGAAGTGAAAATAAAGAAAATATGAAAATAGTTTAAAAATGGCAAAAATGGCTGACATAATAGTTTTAATTATTGTATTTTGGATATACATTTATAAAGGTTATGTTTTAACCTTTTTATCTTTTAGATTATAGTTTTTTGTAATTAATAGATTTTAGTACAGGTACAGGTATTACCTTCTAATAATTAAATAGTTATTTGTAGAGTTAAGTACAAAATGTGAACACTTTCTGTATTTGTGATTTATTTATTCAACATAGAGTTAAGTACAAACTATTGTAGTCTAAAATTGAACATTTTACATGTTAAAGCTGATGAATGTATGAAACTTAAGGATTTGAAAAATAACCACTTGATGTGAAATGTTTAATCGGTTGTTTTGTTAATTGACATTTATATGCCGTTCTTCATAATTTTATTATGTTAGCCTCAAACAGTTTTTAAATAGTTTATCAAATATTCTGGCTCAAAAATTATGTATATCTTTTAATACATCAACAATGGCGATTTAATTGGATGCGCAATTTCCCTTCTTGTATGTATTCTTTCATTTTATAACTTTCAACTATTATGTGTCTGGTGAGAATTTATAGAAGATGACGAAAAGAGTGTAAATCGCAATAAAATTTATGTTTTAACTTTTTATTATTATAATAATGTAAGGTTTACCATCACAATTATATCTAAGATAAATGTATGAAATCGTACTATAAATATATAATAACCAGTTCGCTACAATACTACCTGACATAATTATTGCCCCAATAAAACCAATATTTATGATGTATAATTTACAATATATTATTAACTTCTAGTTGCTTTAAATGATTGCAAAAAATGATGGATTGTAAATGTAAATTAATAAAGATATTTGAAATTATTGTGATAGTGCGAACATACGCTGTCGAACTTTAAACAAATCAAAAAGATATTATATCATTCTTGGTTCGCCCGCTTCTCTCAATATGAACAGCATCGGATTTTTTTTTTTTGGGGGGGGGGGAGGGTGGCGCTAGTTCGATCCTCGGGCAAGGCGAAATTTCTCCGTTACAATTAATCTTGGATCATAATTCGAATTGTCATTTGTCTTTCAACTCTGATTCAGAAATCATATAGGTTTAAAAGTCAGTCACATGCAGTGAAATAAGTAATTACTGGTTAGTTATCCGGGAAAAAAATAATGGTGAGCCAACCGCAGTGATATGACTAAAATGTGTTATCATCGGCGTTAAAAGCAGAAAAGCAACGTTCAAAGACGTTCTTGAATACAACAAAAACAGAAAATCTGGTCTGTCTACTTTCGCATTAGGGGCGTTGTGGACATAGCAATAATTGTAATAAAAGTTATATATTGGTTAATCAATGGTGATTGAATGAGTGTAAGTTTAATACTGAATTTATTGAACGGGTTGAATAAAATTATATTATGCGAGCCTCAGGCATAATATCATTTTATTCATCGAGTTCCATTAATTCAGTAATGAACTTGCACGAATTTAATATTCTTGTTATCACATACTAAAAAATAAAGACCGCCTGTAGAATTACGCTAAAATGGTTGAATAATGGAAATGACGTCACGTCGAATTTTTAGTGAGTCGCAAAATCGGCACGGGTATTTGATTAATAGATGATATTGAATTAGTGTAAATTTTATGCTGTATTTATTGAACGACTTGAATAAAATGATATCTGGCGAGCATAATATTACTTTTAAAAATTATTCAACGAGTTCAATAAATTCAGTAATGACCTTACACGAATTAAATATTCTATTTATCACTTTATCACATACCGTTTGAAGTGAAAAAGAACCATTTTTCATTAAAGGGGCCAAAAGTATAACGCTAACATTTTAGGCGTCTTAACGCAATATTCATATAACGCAAATGACGTCACGTCAAAAATGTGCACGGACGTGCAATACTTTTTTACGGAGTCGCAAAGACCGCAAGGGTATGTGATAAATGACTTGTTGGAATTAAATTTTAGATACACATGTTTATTTCAAATAATCAGAATAATCGACATATCTGTCAGCTATTCTCGTTTTTTAGAACGGTAGAACTACCGCAAAATGCATATTTGTGGAAATATCACTTCATTGTCGAAGAATTAATAGACAAAACAACAACAACAATAGAAACAAAATATGAACATTTTAAAAGCCTGAATTGTGGTAAGTGATCACATGAACAAGAACCACGTGACACACTTCTATTTGTCACCTTTCATTTGATATTATTGAAAAAGTAGTGAAAATACATCATTAATTCAGTATTTTAAGATCATTATCTTCACAAAATAAAACAGTTGATTATACTTAAACAATAAAAACATATTCGTGAAAACAACAGCTAATTTATAGCATCATTGTAATTATATTGTATCTTGCTTTGAAAGGAGCTGCATTTATAACGCCATATAAAACAACTTGGGTAAATGCAATTAGCAATTGCACAATTGAAACGCCTACAATCATGTTCAAAGGAACAGAGACAGATTTATCAGTAGCCGTGAATGCTTCTATTATTGGAAACAAAGATGTGTGGGTAGGATACTATTTAGCAGCAACAGCCTTCCATTATGTTGGTAAATATAAATTATGAATTATAACATTAAATTTATGTTTTCGTTTGAAATAAGATGAAACGAAGAAAAATGAAAATAAAAGTAATTTATAAACAAATAAGACTGAGTAAAGGTCGTGAAAGGATCTATGCCAAGTTGTTGAATTGAACAGTCCTCGATAAATTTTAAGGTTGCTAGAATGCTGCTAAATTACATATAATTGTTCAGTTTCTTTAAAATTAATACAAGGTTTTGATAACCGAGGTTTGAAACAGAGATGACGTATAAATAGAAATTTTGTGAAATACTTGAAAGTGTAAAAACATTTCTCTAATTTCAAGGTTGTATAAAAAGGGGAAATATGGCTGCAACAGCTGAGTTTAAGTACAACACTCCAGGGTTGTGTTACTCTGCATGCAACATGACATATATAATAGGTGTCAGCGTGTCAAAAGTAAGCATTGTTTTATATCGTGGCTAAAGATGGTTTATTTATAATTCAAATCCACAATACAGTCATATTTATAACTTAGGACAATAATAGGTTAACAGATTACTGTATGATTGTAATTGACGTAAAAAAGAACTGTTTTGTAGAACTACAACACATTTGATCGCTTTATCAATAAAATGATATATAAATGATGTATTTCTAGAAACATAAAAAATAACAAATATTGGTTCTACGCAGTTCGTTTATTAAGCTGTGTAATAACGATGAATGAAACACCTTTACGGCATATTTTAGACAATTTGTATAGATCGTTTAATATACCGAGTGTGTGTACATGTAAAATAAAATGTACGGGTACTAGTCTACTGCATATTTTCCTTAATAAACTGTATTCGTTTTGACATGTTTAAAATAGAACAAAGCAATCAACATTGTGCTAATACATAATTAATTTTTGTCATTCAGTGCTACTGCTTTAACAACACTATTCCACCAAACAGGACCTATCAGTTATGTACTCAGGGTTGTCAAAAGCAAATGAATATTGCTTGCGGAGGCAACAATTACATTTCAATTTACACTCCTGACTCGAACGGTGAGATATTGATATCTTAACTTTTGAACATATGTATATAATTCATATATAACATTAACTGCAAATAACAACAAAATGACTTATACATTTCATTTATCGTCGGACTTATAAGACAATACCAATCAAGTAGAAGACCAGGTTCTTAAAAATAATCTTCTGTCTTAATGCTTCTGTTTGCATAGTGTAAAGTGGTCATAAAATTATAAAACGGAAATCATGTAAAATTTTATCTATTTTACAGATGTTCCTGGGGTAGTTCTTTCATAAAAAATTGCATTGAATCTTTAAACTTAAACTTTTTCCAGCAAACCGTTTTAGTGGAAGTGGGAGGTGTCTTCAATATGAGTTAAAGCATAATACGTCCACATTGATGTGGGCTGACTGCGCATCAAGAAATCAGATCATATGTAGATTTAGTAAGAAATGAAATATTTATACATATAATGGATAGTTAAATATTTTAAATACAAACACAATGAAAAGATAAGATTAAAGTAATGGCTTAATGAATTAATTGATTATATAATATTGCATATTCTTTCATTACCTCAAACTTTTAAACACTAATAAGGAAAACGTTGTACGGAAATGTATTTCGTATTTGTCAACTATTATTGCCATTTCAATTTTTTAAAAAGTTAAACATCTCAATTTCTACCAGATGATACTATTCATGAAATATATGATGATGATGATGATGATAATATAAAAGCGAGATGGTGGAGGCCATCTATGAACGAATGCTTTAAATTGTCGAAATTACCAACATCAGTCAAAGACCTGGAAAAATTTGAAAGAAAATCTAACCGTGGGAAATCATGGACTGGTGTCATTTCAAGTGACGTTATATACATAAGTGGTATGTAATTAATTCTTTATGTTCAAGGAAATGTATTATACTACGACACAAATTGAGGTACATTAAAAACCTTTTTAAAGAAAAGCAGATGAATGAAAAAAATAAGAAGAGATTAGTTTTATACCGTGTTTCATGGAATATTTTTAAAATAAAGACACTTTAAAAGATAAGGCATATCATTGTTATGTAACGTATTTTAGCAAACTACAATGTATTGCATAAAACATTTCAATTCCTAAATTTCCATTCAGATTGAAAGATAGATCGTTAATATATCTAAAAAATGTATTGGTGTGTGGTACACAATATGAAAAAAAAATTTTGTATACCAAATTCTTTTCCTGTGAACAGACCATGGAGCTACCAAAATAACCAAGAAAATGTTTGGCTACCTTAAAATAAACAAGGCAAAAGAAACTGTATTAACATTTGATAAAGACAGCACACGCCAAAGATACACCCTTTGTCAAGATGGTAGGAAAATATGTTTATGTATAAAATTACCTGAATGAGTTTGTTAGATAATTAAGGTTATTACATCAAAACAGAATCATGTGTATTCAGATTAAATAGCTTGCTTTCAATCATGTATCATGTAATTTACGCAATTTTATTTCCATGCTTGTTTCCGTACTTTATTATTCTTTGACATTGGTAATACAAATCTTGTCACGATCTGATAGATAATTATTTCTCCTATGAATATTAAAAAAACACAAATAGTTTTAACGCCTTCATATCAAATTTGTTTTAGATAAAACAACACAAACAGTCACTTTTAAAACAACAAGTGAAAAACTAATATCAATGACAAGTAATAAACAAACTACAGAATCACCAACACGTCCAGATGATGATCAATCTAGTCCTATTACAAATCATAATTCGCTAAAAACTACGACATCAGGTAAAATTATACAGTCACAAACAGACCAAGCAAGTTCAACAAAAGGTAAAAATTAATGTTTTAGAATTCCATTTCTGTTATGTATTTTGACTTATAAACCAATACATATCTATTCAGCCGTTGCAAAAACAATACAATTTGGTGTAAAATAATCGAATCTATGATTTAATGATTTATTTCAGCCTCAGATATTGGCATCGCTGTTGGTGTTTCAGTTGCCACTCTCATAATCGTTGTTATTGTCCTTGTAGGAGTTATTCTTACAAGAAGGTAACACTTTTGATAAATCTTAATTTCATGTTTGATATTACGCATTAAGTTAAAACTGAAGCTTTTTATTCATATGGATAAAGTTCATAACAAACATACCATTGAATCATGATATTACAGTGGCACAAAGGTGACATGTGTGTGTGTTTTTTTATTTATCTCGTGGCCACAAGATACTATGTCGTGACCACGAGTTTCTAAGTCGTGGCCACGAGATAGCTAAGTCCTGGCCACGAGATACTATGTCGTGGCCACGAGTTACTAAGTCGTGGCAACGAGAAAACTAAGTCGTGGCCACGAGATACTATGTCGTGGAAACGAGTTACTAAGTCGTGGCAACGAGAAAACTAAGTCGTGGCCACGAGATACTATGTCGTGGCCACGAGTTACTAAGTCGTGGCTACGAGATAGCTAAGTCGTGGACACGAGATAAATAACCAATCAGATTAAACCATTTATGTGAATTTCCCTAATTACCTAGACATGTGCTATAGTACAAGGATGCCCCTTCTTCATCAGCCTGTAAAAGTATCATTTATACAACTTATTGACTTGTCAATAATTTGACATTTAGCGTCACTGTGACCCTGATTTTTGACCCAATGACCTCGATATTATTAGTTGTCATCTACTGATCAGATGCAATGATATTTATGGGTTACATTAACCATGGTTTATCCATTCTAAATTATACATCAGACAAGGATTTTTACCTTATAGGCTATTTACTGTCCATGGGCAATGTCCCTTACAAATAAAACCAGGACTTATTCCTTCTCATGTTATCGTATAAACAAGGTTAATAGGTCGTAGTACGTATAAACTGACCAATTCGATCACAAACTTGCCCAACAAAGAGCTTTTGCAAAATTAATGTCGGATGGGCCTTGGAGGGTGACTTTCTATTATAATCTTCAAGACAAGTTCAAAGTGAATATCCTCAGTATTTTCAAAGATTAATGTTGCATGTAAAAGTAAGTTGCTAAGTTTAAAAAAGTCATAATATATATAGTGTATTCTGATTGGTTAATTATCTAGTTTCCACGACTTAGCTATCTCGTTCCCACGACTTAGTAACTCGTGCCCACGACATAGTATCTCGTGGCCACGACTTAGCTATCTCGTGGCCACGACATAGTATCTCGTGGCCATGACATAGTATCTCGTGGCCACGACATAGTATCTCGTGGCCACATTATAGCAACTCGTGGCCACGACTTAGCTTTTTCGTGGCCACGACTTAGCTATTTCGTGGGCA